TGTCTTTGCTTCTATTAATGTGCTGTATTACAGTTATAGATTTGCATATGTTGAATCACCCCTACATCCTTAGGATGAAGCCACCTTGGTTGTGGTGAATCATCTTTCTGATGTGTTGTTGGGTCTGGTTTGCCATTATTTTATTGTGGATTTTTGCATTGATGTTCTTTAAGGAGATTGGCCTATAGGTCTTCTTTTTGGAGGTGTCTTTGTCTGGTTTTGGGATGAGTGTAATACTGGCTTCATAAAATGAGTTAGGCATTTTTATTTCATGGAATAGTTTAAGGAGGGTTGGTAGTAGTTTTTGTTTAAAGATCTGATTGAATTCAGCAGAGAATCCATCAGGTCCTGGGCTTTTCTTTTTTGGGAGACTCTTTATTGCTGCTTCAATTTCATTTTGTGTTATAGATATATTCAGGTGATTAATATCCTCTTGGTTCAGTTTTATATGGTCATAAGTATCTAGAAATCTGTCCATTTCTTCAAGATTTTCAAATTTGTTAGACTATAAATTTTCAAAGTAGTCTCTGATGATTTCCTAGATTTCTGTGGTGTTTGTTATTATCTCTCCTTTTGCATTTCTGATTTTACTGATTTTGGTTTTTTCTCTCATTTTAGTCAGGTTTGTCAGGGGTCTGTTAATCTTATCTATTTTTTCGAAGAACCAGCTTTTTGTTTCATTAATTCTTTGTATTTTTTGTTTGTTTGTATTTCATTGATTTCAACCCTTATTTTTATTATTTCTCTCCTTCTGCTTGTTTTGGGATTTGCTCATTCCCAAATGGAGAATTAAGCATTAAGAGATGGAGCATTAAGTCATTGATTTGAGATCTTTCTTTCCTTTTAATATATGCGCTCATGGCTGTAAACTTTCCTGTTAGGACTGCCTTTGCAGTGTCCCATGGTTCTGGTAGGTCGTGTTCTCATTTTCATTAACTTCCAGGAACCTTTTAATTTCCTCTTTTATTTCATCCATGACCCATTCATCATTGAGCAATGTGTTGTTCAGCTTCCATTTGTTTGCATGTTCTTTACTGTTGTTTTTGTTGTTGAGTTCTAGTTTTAATGCATTGTGATCAGGTAGAATGCATGGGATTATTTATAGTTTCTTATATTTTCTGAGGCTTGCTTTGTGCCCTAAGATATGGTCAATTTTGGAGAAGGCTCCATGGGCTGCTGAGAAGAATGTGTATTGTGCAGAAGTTGGATGAAATATTCTGTAAACATCAGCTTACAAGAACCTTTTGAATGGAATAAGTTCCTCATCAAGCTCTAGCTTGTCAGGTGTGACAATGGAGTTTTGACATAACTTTCAAGGAGCTGCAGTAATGTGATTGCTACTGCTTCTGCTTTTGTCTAAATCAGTTCAAATAAAACAAAACTCCAAAAACATAACACAAACCAAAAAACTACTTTTAAGTTTTTGACTTTTATTTAAAGGTGCTTTAGGTTTTAGTAATGAGTAGAAGAAAGAAAGGAACTTTTCTTAAAGCATAGCAAGCATTTATAGAAATGCATCTGAACTTAAAATGCTTAGATAGAATTAGTCTTATGTTAGCATTTGGTCTAGCTTGCTTTGAAGTCTTAGACTCAGAGGACCTTACCAGAAAGTGTTAAAGGACAAAATGGGAAACATTAGCCAAGAAAAATAAAGTGATCAAACAGCAAAGGCATGAAAGAAAATATTTATACCAGTAGAAGATTGCAGTTGATTCAAAGGACAAATATTATGGAACAATAAAGTAAAATGTTACCATCTGTTTCAAAGTAATGTAAAGAGTAGAAATTGGGCATTCATTTCAGTTGGGCAGTAGCTTAATACCTGTTAAAACAGTAGCTAATGAAAGCCACTTGTATTTAGCTCACCAGTCATGCTCACAGCAGAATTCTGGTAATTGTCTTTCACTGTTAAAATGCTGTGCTTCACAAGAGAAGGTTGTATAAAGACGATAACTTACATTAAAGAACAGTTCTAAGCCTTGTTTTTGTTAATTTCTGTCTTTGACTAAAAGGGAAACTAGTATTTTTGGAACAATGGGTACTTTGTACTTCTATCAGCAGTTTTTGATATAGCAATTTGCTTAGCTTTTCATTACCCACACTATCATTTTTGGGTTATATTTGCTGGAAGTCAGTAATAAAAATTAATAGTTTGCCTTTTAGATATATGATGCTGATGATGATAATGAAAGTATACCACTGAATTTTGTCTTATGTTTTCTTTTATAAAACATGTTTATTACAATTGTGTGCCAGGCATTACTCCCATTTTACAGATTAAGTCTGAATCATAATTAACTGACTTTATAGCACAAGTATTTGGGCTGGAGATGGAGTTCAGTGGGTCCACTTGCTTAGCATATGGAAAGCCTACAGTTTCATCCATAGCACCTCAAAAACTAACAAAAATAGCAATAATAAAATAGTAGAACACAGATATTGTTGCATCACGTCTGGTGCTTTTCCACTGACTTTTTCGAATCCTAGAGGTTCATGTAGCGATTTAGAAGAGCACTTTGATCATCTGAGGGTAAAATGTCATAATGCAGACTTTGATAGAGATGATCTATAAACAAAAGAATGTATTGAATCACCATCATCGTTAACTACCTCTCACCTAAATGATATCTTTTACATACAAGTAAGACGGACTAACAGTGATAGTGTGAACAGGTGGCTGTAGAAAAAGAGAGAAATGAGAGTGATGTTTTGATTGCCTACTGTTAATGTTTAGAGCAGAATTCCACTCATTTTTCATTTCTCTTCTGAAATCTGTTCTTTTTATTTCTAGGCAGTGGATTTCAAATTTAGCAATTTCCAATATGTCTAATTCTTATTTATTGTCTGCTTTTTAAATTGCTCTTTACAAGCCAATCTGGAGTGAGATTTTGATTGGCTAATTTATAAATTAATAAATAAAATTTAAAAAAATATATATGCACTTTGTGTACATGTGTACACAAAGTGTTTATAAAATGATTAAGTCCTTAAGGGCTCTTGTTTTACTTTAGGTAGGGTGTTAAATTTTATGAAACTTATAGTATATAAAATATAAATCATTTAGTAAGATTACCATGTATAGTTTATTATAGAACAGGTAAAATAAAGACCTTAACAATCTAAACAAGTATTTTAATTCCTTTGTATAAAACAAAAGTTTTTTTGAAAAGCATCATAGAAAACCTAAATAAATATGGATGTAGCAAATTCGTAGATTGTTCGGGTCACTATTGAAAAGATTTTGATTTCCATTTGTGATCTATTTTCAATAAAAAATTGAACTATGTATGTTAAAGAAAATATAGTAACACTGTTCTAAAATATACATTAAAAAGAACAAAGTCTAAAAAGCTTAGATATGCCTGAAGAGGGGTGTGTGTGTGTGTGTGTGTGTGTGTGTGTGTGTGCATGCTGAGAGGGCTTCTATAAATCAGTGATTATTTTTTAATATTGTAGACTTAAAATGAATGGAATAACATTAGATACACTTAATAGTGGAAGAAGGAGCTGAGAAGCAGATCTACATATATTAGGAAATTCCATTCATGAGACAGCTGAAATTGCAGACTAATTGGGAAAAAAAGAGATATTTTAATAAATGGACTAGGGTTCAGTTTATTATCCATGTAGGAAATGTGTGGTTCCTTTATCTTACTTCATATGGAAAATTGATTCTAGATGAATCAAGAAACTTAAGTATCAAATGTTAAATTATCAAACTTTGAGAAAATAACATGGGAGATCATTTTGGCAAAATCACTAAGTAGAAAAAAATTAATTTGACTGAAATACTTAGAATTTATTATTCATAAACAGATGCACTGGAAAGATAAAGTGTAATATATAGTAGGAAGTATTTCAAATCTTAATTACTGAAAAAGGAACTAATATCCAGAATTATAGTGGACCTTTTCAAAGCAATATGAAAAAGTTCAACTGTGCACGAAAAGGTTAACATAGAAGACCAATACAAACTGTCGTATACTGCTTATGCATGTGTAGATAGCTATAACGCCTTTCCACAACTTTTAGCATGATAAAGTGGAAATTGTATACATATCCTGTTGCCTAGAAATTCATTTCTACATTTCTACATATACAAACTTGTAGATGTATATCATAGATAGTATTTAGTGTTATTTTTATAATATAAAAAACAGGAAACATCTGAATGCATTAATTATAACACATTTATAAAATAGAAGTAAAAATTGATGAATTAAAAAAACAATTTTGGTATATTTTACAGCTGCATATAATAATATAGATGACTTTCTGACTAAAGTTAATTGAAAATTCAAAAGAATACAGTTAGCCTAATTCCAATATTACAACATCCAAAAATGTTCTGTATTAAATATGTACTTTTACAAATATAAACATATGGTAAAGTATAGTGAAGTTTAAAGGATGTCTTTTCGTTTTGACAGATAGGGATGAAGATACAATCAGGGAGAGGCAAACAGGTACCTTTAGTGATAATTTGATACTCTTCGCTTAAACTGCTCCACAATATATGGGCACTCATTGAAGCTTTAGTCTTTAAACCTTATTCATATTTATTAAGCAGTCTTTCAAATGTAATATTTGCTAAAACAATTTTCAAAAACCCTGCTGTATGGTAGTGTAAAGAAGTAGGCACCCTATATATGGCTTGTGAGAATGTGTTGCTACAACTTCTCTAAGGTACAACTTGGTGTGATATGTCACAATTTAAAATCCACAGACCTTATAACCTTGTAGTCCACTACAAGGAACTAATGCTGTAAGAGGCATAATGGTTTTAAAATGATTTGAGATTCCTGTATATTTGTTCTTGATTCCTAGACACAAAGGTCTGTATTTTGGTGATTAATTTAGAATTCTTTAGGAGCAATTGTTCATTTAATTACATGGAACTTTTGCATAGGTCTCAAGACAATGATAGTAACAGTGTGCTACTACTTTTTCCCCAGTTGTAATTCATAGTAATTATTAATTATTTTAATATATCATTGTAGGTATCCATCATATTTGGCACCTGAGGTAATTGCACAAGGGATTTTCAAAAGCACTGATCACATGTCAAGTGAAAAACCTTTGCCATCTGGCCCCAAGTCAGATGTATGGTCTCTTGGGATCGTTTTATTTGAGCTCTGTGTGGTATGTATAAAGAAATACTAAAGAAATAAAAAGAATTTGTGTGCTTATTGGAATAATATTTTGGGGGAAACAAAGAAGTGTTTGCTGCTCAACTTAACTAGAATATAAAGAGAAAAGACTTACTTCGCAATTTAACTTTAAAAATCCTATTTGAAAAAAGTAGAGGCCATTTCTCTGCCTATTCAATAAATAATTTACTTTTTTGTATCTCTAGAAATATTTGTGCTTTTCCTAAATGTTAATGTTTTTGTAAATATAAATTTTACAAATTGCTAGTATTATTTTATTAGCTTTACAAATGTTTACTCACTACAAAAATTACACTTGTACAAAGCATAAACAACTTTAGAAATGCTACGCTAAACTTGCTTACACTTTTTTATCTGCTCATTAACCCTCCCTTCTGATTTTATTTCCTCCCCTTCTGATATATTTCATATAAACTCAGTTTGCATGTTTGTTTTTTATGAAGTCTTATACAGATATCTTCAGTATTTATTAAAACAGAAGAATTAAAAGTACAATGACTTAAAGAAACAGGTGTTTTTCTCCCTCATTAACAATTCAGACCAAGTAGGGTGGGCTCTGCTCTACAATGTAGAAACCTAAGCAACTGGGGATGGCTTCACCATTCTCAACAGCTATTTCCAAAGTTGCTTCTAGATAGAAGAGAAGGGGAGGAATGAATTCAGGATTACTGTCTTTAAGAGGATGTTCTAAATATTGCAAATATGAATTTGGTATACTTTTTACTAGTAAAAGCTTACTCATTTGGCCACATGTAGGGACAAAGGAGCATAGGAAATATAATCTTGAGCTAGATATCTAAATATCAAGAAAAAAGATGAGAATGGGTTTTGGAGGGGATAGCTTGTCTTGTCTGTTCCACCTCCAATGACCTGCCAGTGTTAGATGCCTTTCTTCTCTTCTCTCCTTCTTCTACTGTGGTATTTGTAACATTTGTCCACTTTTCTTGAACTATTAGGTCTTTGAAGTGGAAATTTTGATTTTCCTTTGTTATGGTTTAGATATAAAATGTCCCCAAAGGCCTCGTGAGTTGAAGCCTTGATCCCAGATGGTAGAGCTATGATTGGATCATGAAGACACTAATGTTATCAGTGAATTAATTCATTGATAAGTTTATAGCTGAATGTGCTTTTAGGAGTTGGGGCCTGGTTGGAGGAAGTAGTTTACTGGTGGCATGTCTCTAAAGACATCTTACTCCTGTCCACCCCCCTCTTTTTGTTTTGCATCCTAGCTGACACTACATGAGCGGCCTTTTCTGTCACTTGCTCATGCTGCCAGGGTATTCTGCCTTGCCTCAGGCCCACAGCAATTGAGCCAGTCAACTATGGATTAAAACCTTTGAAACCATAAGACAAAATAAATCTTTCCTTTTAAGTTGCTTTTCTTAGGTATTTTGTCACACTGATGGAAAGCTGAGAAACATATCCATCTATTGTTTCTGTCTTCCAAAGGATTTCCCAAATATTTTTAAAATTCATTGACCTCTGTCACCTCTAAGAATTAACATTTTATTCATTTTGTGTGTTTAAGAATTAATTAAATAGCATACATATTACAGAGACTTATGGAGTCAGAACTGAGTTTAAAATCTAATGTTACATATTATAACTGTGTAACTTTGGGTGATATGCTAGTCAGCTTTCTGTTATAGTAAAAAAAATTTCTGGGATAGTCAACTGAAAAGAGAAAAGGTTTATTTTGGCTCATGGTTTCAAAGGTATGAGTCCATGGAAGAAGCCACAGGCCACTAGTCATGGTGAAAATATACATTAAAATAGAGGAGAAGATGGGTTATCACTATCTCTTTTAGGGGCACACGAAGCCCTCCGTTTTTAAACTTTCCATTACCTCCCATAATGCCAATCTAGGGACTAAAGTCTCTAATAATGAGCTTTTGGGGGACATTCCAGATCCAAACTAATGACTTTTCAAGACATGATTGCATTTCCTTAATATTAATGTCTAGAATTGATTTCTATAAATCATATTAGTATCTAGTAAAGTCAGAAAAATTTAATGAAATAATGTACATACTCAGTATATAGTACATGATGGCAAGCCATCTCTAAATGTTACTTTTATTATTAACAGTATCAAAAAATTCACAAGGTGATAGCTTAAATACTGACACTGCATCTTCTAAAGGAAAATTCCAGACTGTTTCTTTAATATGCTGGTTTACTGTTGAAAGCAAATAGTAAATATTTTCATTTAAATTACAGCTGAAATGAAAATTTTTATTAGAACAAGCATGAAGTATACATAAGTATAAATGTGAAATATACAGCTTTTACTTTTTATTACTATCTATCACAGATATCTAAGCTTTTTGCTAATCTGGTATGTTTTACTTGAGTAATTCAATTCAATAAATATTCATGAGTATTTGCTCTGTATATGCCATCATGACAAATATAGCAAGAGATAAACTGATTAACACACATTATCTGAGTGCTCATAATTAACTTAAAATCTATAAGCTCTGAAGATAAATACAAAGAGCTGTGTGAATTCAAAGAAAGGAAATTTGAATTCTTGTATAGGAGCTTCATGGCACTTTAAGTGATACTCATGTTTGGACCTCCAACTTAAAGATGACATACTATATTTAAGCTTATATTTTCTGCCTCACCAAAATGTAGATTTTTTTATAGAAAATATTAAGATATAACTGGACATTGTACCAGCAACTAACAAAGGAAACTTTTGCTTAACTAGAAATTCTAAGTGAATAGATGAGAAGTCATACCAAAACCATTTTGCTGGGAAGCATTTGACATGTCCCCAGAAAGTTAGTACAGTTGCTCTGCCACCAGAAGTTTTCATAGTCTGAAACATGTGTAGGAAAATTGTGTATTACAAGATCTAAGATCTTTTAATCTAAGTTTTTATATTAAAGTACTTAAGAAACACCAAACATGTAAAGATGACCCTTGCAATAAAGAAGAAACAATAGAAGAACTTGTATCATTTACTGTACTTTAAAATGAACGTATGTGTTCTTTCAACTATAAAGGAAACAATTCCATGTGAAATAATTATAGAATCTATGAAATAAAACAGTTACTGAGAAGAACCAGTTAGAATTTTAAGAAAATTATATTCAATTATTAAAATAAAGACTCTAATGGATGGAAAACTGGACAAAGTGAAAGTAGATAAAAATGAGTAATTCTCCTAGAATTTGGCACAAAGAGATTGAAAATGTAAAATATAGGGAAGGTATATCCAGGTGTTCTCACATCTGTATTATAGAAGTATCAGAAGTAGAGAATAAAGTCCTTCATTCAAAAGGTTTCACTTTCTTTGAATTGGAAAAAAACAAAATCATACTAACGGTAACAATGAAAATACATAAAAGCTGTATACTAAGTCTTTAAGAGATAACCAATAATGAAATAATTGATGACATTTTTTGAGTACTTATAAAAAAGGCAGGAAGTTTTGTAATTTCTTTATACCTGTTATGTCAATCTGTTTCAGAGCAGTCTTATGAAGCTTAATTTTTATCACTACTGTACAGGTTAGGAAATTGAGGTACACAGAAGTTAAGCAGCATGTCTAAGTTATATAACAAAAAGTGGATGAACACATATGCACTTATGCATCTGCCTCCTGTGCTCTTTAGCTAAAATATTATACTGCTTGGTAAAACCATGATGTCTTTATTGATATTGTAGAGAAAATCTTAAAGCCTACAAAAGAAACAAAAGACATTTTGCCTTTAAAGAATGAGAATTAGATTGACATTACACTTTTGGGGGGAAATTTTAGCATGGTTTTATTTTAGTATACCAGGGTAAAGTAGGGAGAAGTTGGGGTGGGGGGAGGAGATGAGAAACATTTCCTGCTCCTCATGCAGGAAGTGGGAATAAAGACTCCAACATTACATGTTTTAACAGTATAGATGCATGCAGATACTCTGACAGAAAATAATTTTGAATTTCAAAATCTTTTACTTATGAAATTAACATTCAAGAGTGATAATAAAATAAAGGAAGAATGATAGACACATTCAGAATATAACTGTTAGGAAGAGTCATTAGTTACAGCGTATAGGCCAGAATAGGTAAGAGTGTATGTATTCCGTGTATCACATGTAATCTGATTTAATGACTTCATTGTGTGTGCAAAATAGGGTAGGCAAATAGTAAGAAATTAGATGAAAAAAACATGTTGGACCTATATCCGAGGAGATTCTGAATGGTAAATAAAGATGTTTATATAAGATATGGCAGACCCCTAAAAGTTTTAAACCTGCATTTCTTCAAGGTTAACGATAACAGCACAAGAGATGGATAGAGATAGGAATGCTACAGGTGGTTTCTCTATCTGTACCTCTGATCTCAAGTGTTTAAAAATATATTTTCTATTTTTCTCTGTGTAAAGACTGAGCTGTCTTCTTAAGCCTCCTTCTAAATCTATTTAAAATAATAATACATTATAATAATGTATTATAACTACAATAATTATAATAATAATATGTTTAATTTCTTTGTGATAAGTAAAATATAATAGCTAACATTATTGAAGCATTTTTCCATTGTATCATCTTCATCACTACTTTTGAGTGTGTACAGTTTTGACAGATGACAAAAGTGAGGCTTAAAGTGGTTAATTTGCCCAAGTTATATAACTATTTGTTGATGGAAAAATCCAACTTGCTACACAATTGTTGTTGGACATACAATTTTTGGAGGTATATGTGTTGGACTCTAGACTCAATGTCAAGGTTTCTCCTGAGGCAGACTAATAAGGAACCAATTAGCTGAGCATGATGGTTCACACCTTGATCCCAGCTATTTAAGAGCAGAGGTGGGAGGATCACATGCTTGAGGCCAGCCTGGGCAACTAAGCAAGACCTGCCTGAAAATAAAATTTTAAAAAGGATTGGAGGTGTAGTTCAGTGGCAAAATGTTTACATAGCATGCTTGAAATCCTGTGTTCACTCCCCAGCACCAAACACCATGTGAAATAGGAACACAAAGAATGGGTATCTGAAGTTATTCTGAGAGGAAGAAGGGTTCTCATGTGATGTTTCTCAATAACAATGCATAAGTAGGGATTACTTGGGTGGATAATTACTTGGATAGATGACCAGGGAGCATCTTGCTTCTTTCATACGATAATACTTCTGGTGGTTTGGGATACTTCTATACAGTGAAGTGTGTGTGTGTGTTTCAAAAGTGAACACAGTACTTGAGATCAAACTAGAATGTAATAATTCTTAGAGATATGAAACATTTAAATATTAAATATTATTCAACATTTAAAATATACTCATATATATGCCAGTAATTTTTCTTTACTGGAGCTGACTTTAAAAAGCCAATAAAAGCTCTGGGATAAATGGAGATACCTGATAAAATCCGTTTCAGCAATGAAAACAGAAAGACCTTCTGGGAAAAAAAGTAAGAATTAATAAGAATGTCTTTTCCCATTGTATTTAGGGAAGAAAATTATTTCAGAGCTTGGATATTTCTGAAAGACTAAAATTTGTGCTTACTTTGGGTAAGTATCTTACAGTTATTCTTCAGTATAACATAGCCTAAAGGTGATTATATATTCTTCCAAAGTAGGAAAATGTCTCATTTTCTTGAAGTTTCTAATTATCAGTTATGAGAATTAACTGGCAGATTAAGGAAGCTTAAGGAAGTGCCTTCTGAAATAGAGTTTATTAATGAATTTGAACCTGAATGGTAATAATCTTAGCTTCATTTTGCCAAATAAACTAACCCATATAATGAAATGATGAGACGATAAAATATGTGTACATTCTCCAAATTCTACATAATAAAAATAGTTTCATAAGCATGAAAAAACAGTAAGACCTTCTTAAAAAGAGGATGTCTTTAGCTTCTTTTAATCACTGCTTTATCATTACTTACATTGCTGTCTTTCAGTATCTGTGCTTTATTAATATTCAGTGTTTGACATTAAAGAGATCATACATCATGATCAAGTAGTTTTCATCCCAGGGATGCAAGGATGGTACAATATAGACAAATAATAAATATAGTGTACACTATGCACAAGTAAATAAGTGTAATACATCAAAACAGAATCAAGTACAGAAACCACATCCTCTCAACAGATGCACAAAAAGGTTTTGACAAAATTCAACATCCTTTCAAGCTTTGAAGAAACTAGGAATAGAAGGAACATTCCTCAATATTATTAAGGGTATATATGACAAACCTGTAGCTAACATCATAATAAATGGGGAATGACCTGAAATCATTTCCTCCAAAATCAGGAATGAGATAAGGGTGTCCACTCTTGCACTCTTATTCAATGTACTACTAGAATTCCTAGCCAAAGCAATGCAACAAGAGAAAGGAATAAAAGGGATTCAAATAGGGAAGAAAGAAGTTGAGTTATGTCTGTTTGTGATACAATCTTATACCTGAATGACCCTAAAAGCTCTACCAAAAAACACTTAGATCTCATAAACATGGTCAGCAAAGTAGGAGGATACAAAATCAATACAAAACTCAATGCAAAACTCAGTGGCATTTCTATACACAAACAAAGACCAGTCTGAGAAAGAAATCAGGAAAACAATAACGTTTACAGTAGAATCAAAAAGTGTAAAATACCTAGGTATAAATTTTCTTTTTTTGGTGGTACTGGGGTTTGAATTCAGGACTTCACACTTGCTGGGAAGGCACTGTACCACTTGAGCCACTCCGCTAGTCCTTTTTTGAGCTGGGTCTCACAAACTATTTCCCTTGGCTGACTTTGAACCGTAATCCTGATCTCTGCCTCCTGAGTAGATGGGATTACAGGCATGAGCCACTGGCTCCTGGCTCCAAGGAATAAATTTAATGAAGGACGTGCAAGACTGATACACAAAAACCATAAATCACTAAGAAAAGAAATAAATGAAGTCATAAGATGGAAGGACATCCCATGCTCATGGATCAGCAGAATCAATATTGTGAAAATGGCTATTCTACCAAAAGCAATCTATATGTTTAATGCAATCCCCATCAAAATCCCAATGACATTTTTCACAGAGATAGAAAAATCAAATCTAAAGTTCATATAAAATCACAAATACCTCAAATAGCCAATGGAATTCTAAGCAAAAAGAGCAGTGCTGGAGGTATCACAATACCCGACTTCAAATTATACTATAAAACAATGATAAAAACATCACGGTATTGGCACAAAAACTAATATGAAGACCAATGGAACAAAAGACCTAGACAGAAATCTACAGAGCTACATTCATTTGATTTTTTGACAAAGGAGCCCAAAGCATGAATTGAAAAAAAGATAGCCTCTTCAACAAATAGTGCTAGGGAAACTGGATATCCACCCTTTAGAAGATTGAAAGTAGATCCCAGTCTCTCACAGTGAACTATCAATTCAAAGTGGATCAAAGATCTCCATGTAAGATCTGAAACTGAAACTACTACAGGAAAGCATGGGACTGGAATATATATGCATAGATAATAAATTTATGTATACAATCCTGATAGCTCAGAAATTAAGTGAAAGGATTGACAAAACATGAAGCTAAAAAGCTTCTGTACAGCAAAGGAAACAGTCACTAGACTGAAGAGACACCTACAGAATGGGAGAAAATCTTTGCCAGTTATCCATTTGACAAGGGATTAATAACCAGAATTTACAGGGAGCTCAAAAAACATAACCTCAAAAAGAATCAGCAACCCACTGAATAAATGGACAAATGAACTGAGCAAATATTTTTAGAAATAAGAACAAGTAGTCAATAAATACATGAAGAAATGCTCAGCATCCTTGGCATTAAAGGAAATGCAAATCAAAATGACATTGATATTTTGCCTCATTCCTGGCAGAATGGCTGTCATCAATAACACAAAAACAACAAATGCTGGCAAGGATGTGGTAAAAAGAAAGCCTTATCTACTGTTGGTGAGAATGAAAATTAATGCAATCACAGTTGAAGCAGTATAGAGGTTCCTCAAAAAATAAAAAACAGACCTAAGATATGATCCAACAATACTATTCCTGGGTATATACCTAAAGGAATGTAAGCCAGGATATAATAAAACTACTTGGGCACCCAGGTTTATTGCAGCACTGTTCACAATACCCAAGCTTTGGAAACAGCCAAGATGCCCTACAATTGATGAGTGAATTAAGAAAATGTGGTACGTGTACACACTGGAGTATTATTAATCCATAAAGAAGAATGAAATTATGTTTTTTGCAGTTAAAAATAGAACTAGAGATCATCATGTTAAAGTATGGCAGGCTCAGAAGGACAAAGGTCACGTTTTTCCTCATATATGGAAACTAGACCATAAGATAATTATATACATATGTATGTGTGTTCTTTTTACATATATGTGTGTGTTTACATGTATGTGTGTGCACATATATAGATAGAGAATTGAACACAAGATTGTATTAGTGGGTCTGAGGGAACTACAGGGAGGTAGGAGAGGAAAAAAGAATGACACTGAATAATATTGAAAAACACATTGCATCTGTATATAAAGCTAGTAGTATAATGCACTGTAATCTGTTGAATAATAGGATAGGAGGGCAATAGAGAAAGAGTAATAGAGGGGGGTAAGCTGATTAAAGTATAACATATAGATATGTGAAATACCAGGCAAAACCCTCTTCAACAAATACACTTAAAAAAATGAAGGACAGAAAGGTAAAACATGTCTTCTCTGGGGGTGTTTACAAGTGGGTGTGGGGAGGGTAAACAGAGAAGGTGAAGGAGGGCAAATGTAGTAGATGTACTTTGTATTCATTTATGAAAATATTACAATGAAATTGTTCTAAGAAGAGGGAAGAGAGATAAGGAAGAATGAGGGAGGGGTGAATCTAATTAAAATACATCATAAGCACCTGTGTAAATGTCACAATGTATCCCCTCTGTACAACTATTATATAAATAAATAAAAATAAATATTTAGTGTTTTAGGTTGTTTTTATTAAAACACTAAAGTTAGCAAAATTAGAAGTTTTTTTTTTATTGTAAGTACCAAAGCTGCATTATGTATTTTAATCTATTCATATAGTTTTTCTTTTTCTTAGACTGTGTAGATGACACTGTAATAGTTCTGGCTGAAGAGCACGGTTGTCTGGACATTATAAAGGTTTGTCGTTAATCTGTGCCTTGGTCTGTTTGTGCTATTCTAACATAATACCTGACTTGGTTAACTTATAAGGAGCAAAACATTATTTTCTCACAATTTTGGAGATCAAGGTGCTGGGAAGTTTATCTCATGAGAGCTGCATCTTTGCAGGGGAGGAACACATGTCCTCACAAAGCAGAAGGGCAAGCTAAGTGAAGCCTTTGTTACAAAATCTGACTCCCCAGAGTAAGGCCCTTTGTGACCCAAACATCTAATAAAGGCTGTCAAGTTTCAACACCGAATTTTAGAGGGGAAAACAGTCAGCCATAGCAATCTGTTAATGAAAATTTATTAATTTGCTTGGCATTCAGTAGCAAGCTATTTTAAAATCATGCTTATTTTCTTTAGGGACTTGCTTTTTCACAGTGACAGATAAATATAAATTTGTATAATGTCCTAACAAAGACTTTTTAAAAAGTCAAAACTTTCTAAACATTTGAGCAAAATATATTTCTGAAATGTATCATTTAAAATAATTTTCTCTCTATTTTCTAGGAGCTTCCTGAAAATGTGATAGATCTTTTGAAGAAGTGCCTAACCTTCCATCCTACTAAGAGGTTGATATTTTAAGACTCTGAAGTTATACTGAGATCCTTTACAATACTATCAATTTATTTTTTTCTTATTTATTACAATGCTAATGAGTTAAATAAAGACTTTTGCATATGTAGTAGTACATAACGGCAATAATATCCTAAGTGTGATTTAGGGCTTTAACTTTTTGTTGGTGGAAGAAAAGATAATTAAAAGTTAAATCATGCACAGAGGTCTGATATATATCAAGTAGGATGTTACTAGTTCATTTCCTAGACTCCAAGTAGAAAATTTGGTAAGCTGGAATGTCAATATTCCTATACCAAGTAATAGTATGATAGAAATGAGAATAAAAGTTTGTTGGCAATGTGTGTTATAGCAGGGAATGTGCATAAAGTTGAGATAAGCTAACAATAGCTGATAATATGAAAGGATTTCTTTGAAGTTCCAGTTTACTTTCATTTCATGATTTCACTATTACTTATAGAATGATTTCTAAGCTCCTTAAGTATATAATGTTTGAAAATAATGTATTCTAATTTGTCTTTAGATAAATAACTTTATGAAGACATGTTAGGGAAGGAGGAATGGTATTAAAAGTGCAGCTTTGAGTGAATATGCCACATTAAAATAAAGAGGTAGGAAGCAAATCTAAAAGGTATTAGTTTACATATTTGTTTAATAAGATATTCAGTAAAGTAGGCATATTTTAGTCAGGTAAAAGTAAAAAAATGTAAAAGCCTTTATGAAGTGATTTATGATAAATCATATGGTACAAAAAGTGCAACAAAATTAAAAAATCAGTATTTACCATCATTTGAATATTATATAAGGTATATAGCTAGACTTTGCTAAGGAGACCTTGGCTGTTTTCTGTGCTGATGAGGTATTTAAGACTTTTAACTTTTCCCTTTTTTCTAGGAAATTTTTATGACTTTCATTCATGCCCTACATTTTAAATTATATTTCTTAAGGCCAACCCCAACAGAATTAATGAAGGATGAAGTGTTCAGTGAAGTGTCACCTTTATACACCCCCTTTATCGAACCTGCCAGTCTGTTTTCATCTTCTCTGAGATGTGCTGATTTAACTCTGCCTGAGGATATTAGTCAGTTGTATAAAGGTAATGATAAATAAAACAAAATCAATAACCTCATCTTTGTTGTAAAGGAAGTCCCCTTATCTTAGCTTCAGTTTTTAATTTATCAATAGTATATTTTACATTCATGGATTTTATGGATAATTCCATGGGAATTGAGATGATTAGAAGTGCTTAAAATATAACTGACCTGAAATTTTAATCCTCCTCTCAGTTACTAATATTCCATATAAGTTGTTATAAATGATCTTAAAAATCGTATTTTTATAGAAAGTCCATACCATATGTGTATAAAAGAGAATATAGTATTTAATTTTTTATTCTTGTGTGAAGATTATAACTCTTAGTGTTTTAGTCATGCAAATATTACACTGAAAATTAATCATGGCAAAAGTCATGATAAAAACACTTGCAAAACATTCATTCAATTAAATATTGAGTAGTACTATACAGTAAAAGTCAATCTTTAACATCTGTGTAAAATGGGAAAGCAGACAGACATTGAATTTCTTTTTTTTAATTTTTATTTTATTCATATGTGCATATAATGTTTGGGTCATTTCTCCCCCCTTTCCCCACCCACTCTCTTACCCCCCTCTCGCCCCCTCCCTCTTCCCCCCTACCCCCTCACTACCCGGAAGAAACTATTTTGCCCTTATCTCTAATTTTATTGAAGAGAAAGTATAAGAAATAATAGGAAGGACCAAGGGTTTTTGCTAGTTGAGATAAGGATAGCTATAGGGCGTTGACTTGCATTGATTTCCTGTGCATGTGTGTTACCTTCTAAGTTAATTCTTGAACTAACCTTTTCTCTAGTTCCTGGTCCCCTTCTCCTATTGGCCTCAGTTGCTTTAAAGTACCTGCTTTAGTTTCTTTGCATTGAGGGCAACAAATGCTATCTAGTTTTTTAGGTGTCTTACCTATCCTCATACCTCTCTTGTGTACTCTCGCTTTATCATGTGATCAAAGTCCAATCCCTTGTTTTGTTTGCCCTTGATCTAATGTCCGCATGTGAGGGAGAACATATGATTTTTGGTCTTTTGGGCCAGGCTAACCTCACTCAGAATGATGTTCTCCAATTCCATCCATTTACCAGAAAATGGTAACATTTTGTTCTTCATGGCTGCATAAAATTCCATTGTGTAATCACATTTTCTTAATCCATTCGTCAGTAGTGGGACATCTTGGCTGTTTCCATAACTTGGCTATTGTGAATAGTGCCGCAATAAACATGGGTGTGCAGGAGTAACCTGAGTCACAGTCTATTGGGTATATCCCCAAGAGTGGTATTGCTGGATCAAATGGTAGATCAATGTCTAGCTTTTTAAGTAGCCTCCAAATTTTTTTCCAGAGTGGTTGTACTAGTTTACATTCCCACCAGCAGTATAAGAGGGCTCCTTTTTCCCCACATCCTCACCAACACCTGTTTTTAGTGGCGTTGTTAATGATGGCTATTCTAACAGGGGTGAGGTGGAATCTTAGTGTGGTTTTAATTTGCATTTCCTTTCTTGCTAGAGATGGTGAGCATTTTTTCATGTGTTTTTTGGCCATTTGAATTTCTTCTTTTGAGAAAGTTCTGTTTAGTTCACTTGCCCATTTCTTTATTGTTTCATTAATTTTGGGAGAATTTAGTTTTTTAAGTTCCCTATATATTCTGGTTATCAGTCCTTTGTCTGATGTGTAGCTGGCAAATATTTTCTCCCACTCTGAGGGTGGTCTCTTCAGTTTAGAGACCATTTCTTTTGTTGAGCAGAAGCTTTTTGGTTTTATGAAGTCTCATTTATCTATGCTATCTCTTAGTTGCTGTGCTGCTGGGGTTCCATTGAGAAAGTTCTTGCCTATACCTATAAATTCCAGAGTATTTCCTACTCTTTCCTGTACCAACTTTAGAGTTTGGGGTCTGATATTGAGATCCTTTATTCATTTTGAGTTAATATTGGTATAGGGTGATATACATGGATCTAGTTTCAGTTTTTTGCAGACTGCTAACCAGTTTTCCCAGCAGTTTTTGTTGAAGAGGCTCAGACATTGAATTTCATAATCACTGTCATAAGTGAAGGTCAGTATGACATAGCACAGTGGAAACATAGAAGAGGTACATAATTCTGTCTGGGACTTCTCAGATGATTCAGAAGAGGCAGCTATTGCTTTAAAAAATGAGAGATGGGACAGTGTTTGTTGGTTGACTAGCCAAGTGCTTTTTTTCTGCCCTTATTACTTTCCCAATACAACAGGTAAAAACTACAGTTCTATAACTCCGATACATAGGGATAAATTTTCCAGATTTTCTCTTTTCTAGCTTTTCTTGCCTTAGGAAGCAGGCTTAAGATAAAGTTGACTAATGTGGTTCGAGTAGAGGTCTGCCTCTCATAAGAGGGTTTTTGCGGAAAAAATTTACTTTGTGGCAAGAAAGGTACGGAATCAGATACGGTCTTGAATTTTGACAAGCTTCATCTCGGAGCTTTTTTTAATGCATAAGCCACTTTAAGAAGGATATTATTTTCAGTCAGGAGCATTCATACTGTTACAAAAGATGAATCAGAATCTATCAGTAATAGCACATTTCCATGTAGGCGAAGAGATACCCAACTCCAGCCCATTCTAGCCCACCTAAGGGCAGATAGCACTTGTGAGGATAATGATCCACAGTCACAGGCTCACTAACCAAATAATAGGACAACAGAATGCTTTCTCTCTCTCTCTCTCTCAAGCCATACCATCACAGAGAAGGATAGAGCTGACTAAAGTTGGTTGTTGCCCTTTGTTCAGGTCAGTTAGACTCTGGCTAATTAACTTCTCCTAGGGAAGGCCTTGTTAAGAAGAAAAGTGCTTTGTCTTATTTCAAAATGGTTCTATTTCTTCCTCTCACTGCCAGAAGTTCAAAGGCATTTTTCTTTAATATTTACTGTTAGAAACTGGTAAGACCTAGAGGTTAAAATCACAGAAGTGTGGGGTTTGCCCTGTGACTGAACCCCACTGAATGTTTTAATGCTCAGACTTGACTACACTGAGTCTCCAGGAATTCAGCAATTATAGTTCAGATTATCCTACCTCTCCACTGGTTCCTGAGATGTTTATTGCTCATGAGTCTAAAGTTGTGACCCTTTGTATTACCCTATCTGTCTATACAATCTTGGGGGTAATAGTTTGCCCCATATACTTACCTCTTTTACAGATCTAAGAAGAGTTTTTATATTTTTTTTATGGAACACTTCATGAATTTGCATGTTATTCTTGTGCAGGGGCCATGTTAACCTTCTCTGTATCATTCCAATTTTTTTTTTAGTATATGTGCTGCCGAAGTGAGCATCTAAGAAGAGTTTTGATTTTTCAATCTGATATGTTGTTAGGTGAAGTAGCAACTTAGGTGGATAACCAGTTCTTCAGTTTCCTTTTTTCAGAATGTCAGCTATTACTGCCTACTGCCTTTTAATAAAAGCAGAAATTATAACTGCTGATTCTTTTCAATTCACCATTAATAGATATAAGCAGCGATTACCTGGCAGAAAGATCTATTGAAGAAGTTTACTACCTTTGGTGTTTAGCTGGTGGTGACTTGGAGAAAGAGCTTGTGAACAAGGAAATCATTCGATCCAAACCACCTATCTGCACGCTCCCCAAGTAAGGAAGGAAAAGTTTTCTTGAAAATGAAAGAAATCTGGTAACAACACTAAAAAGAAAAAGGTTGATTGATTCTGTTTTCTTTTGGTAGACATTCCAACTAGTTGATTTTGGAAGCAATAGGAAGTCATTACTACATTGCACTTCATTTTAAATTATGAATCTGAATATCTGGAGCTTCTACTAATGTCTTAAAATTTTAAATTTTATATTAGAGGACAGATTTGATCATTGTAGGTAACTGTAGAAATTGATCATTTTTTTCTTGTTAAATTTTTACATTATTTGGATAGACTATTAGTTTTCTACTTTTTCCTCTTCTTAAACTGATTTTTAGACATTAACTTCAATTATACCACTCATCCATTTCATTAAGTAGAAAATCAGAAATAAGATGAAAAAATTCCAATAGGAAATGCTTTGAAGTATTCGTTAAAAATAGGCAGTAGTTCAAGCATTTGTTACCCAGTATTCTCTTTCCTGAGATATTATCATTCAATTTGCTTTTGCTTCTTCTCTTTGTCATTGTTCATTTATGTAAACTTCCTCAGGAGTACATTTGGATAGTAATTTTAGTATTGAACTTGAATGAACACAGAGTTTTAAGTGACACCTTGTATTCCTGAAATGCTTTTTCCATCTCTAGCATATTTATACCAAATCAAGAAATTTCTATAAACAAGTCTTGTTGGAGTAACCTCAGCCAGTTTTAAGATTAACTATACACTCTAAAATTTACTTCTTAGAAAAATTTTATTTGCTAGGAGAAACAATAAGTTGAATTTTGTGTGTGCATTAAAACAGTTTTTTTTTTTTTTAATCTCTTTCAGTTTTCTCTTTGAAGATGGAGAAAGCTTTGGACAAGGTCGAGATAGAAGCTCACTGTTAGATGATACCACTGTGACATTGTCATTATGTCAGCTAAGAAATGTAAGAATGATATGCTGCCAAATATGCTTCATATTATTTTTAATTAAAACCTTAAAGATACTCTTGATGCCTTGCATTTCTCCCTAATTTTATGAAATATGTGAGAGCTTCTGTAAGATATGTGCCCCAGAGTAGAATTGCTGGATAATAGCATCAATATAACTTCAGTTTTTAATACCTATTGCCTGATTGTATACAAAAAATTATTTTTTTTTGAGATAGGGTCTTGCTACATAGCCCAGGCTGAACTCTCTATGTAGCCCAGTGTGGTCTTGAACTCTTAATCCTCCTCCTGAATTCAGTCTCCTGAATTCTGAGGGTAAAGGCATGAGCCACTATGTCTATCTATAATAATGATTTTTTCTTTTTATCTTTTCACCATCATCAAATAAGTGTTCTTATTTCTCCACTTTTTAGCAATACTTGCTGTTATCAAATTTTTTTAAATTGTTAATTTAATGTTATAATCTATATACCCATATATGATATATATGCATATGTGATTTATATATAATATATATATATATTATGTTCCTCTAGAGAAACCTGATTAATACCATGATTGTAGAAATCGGCTACTAGAGCAAATTTGTTCTCCATTTTGAGGACAATAAATTCAGGATTTTCTCTTGCTAGAAATCCAGACCTCATATAAAACTATGGATTAATGCACTATAGTATTGGCTAAGGTTAATTATTGATATGTACTGTAGACTTTATGCCAAACACACACCTACACACACACACATATACACACATATATATGAATGTAATGGACTTACTATACTGACTTACATGGTCAGAGACCAGATAGTGCCACAATGGCTGTCTGTAAACTGGAGAGCAGAAAACCAGAATTCAGTAGCTGCTCAGTTCAAGAAAATGGAAGTCTCAAAACAAGGACCAATGATGTAGTCTCAGTTCAAGATTAAAGGTCTGGAAGCTCCTTAGAGAGTCACTGATAGAAGTCCACAAGCTCAAGTCTGATCATGTCCATGTCCATGGCAAATGGCAGTAGCAAAAGCCACACCTGCTGAAGATGAGTCAAGCTTGAACATACTGGCCGACTTCCTCCTACTTTTCTGTTAGAAAAATTTCAAAATAAAATGTTAGAAAAAAATCATATACAAGAGCAATCATAATAATTCTGTTAATGAATATACAGACATTGGAAAGTAAATTGTGATATAAAGTAAGATTTAAATAAATGTTATATTCATGGTATGTTCAGGAAATAGGACTCCATATTTTACAGATGTAAATTCAAATTTATTAATATTGCTCTTATAAATAGAATATATTTATGTATATGATTTTTTCTAACATTTATTATGAAATTTTTCAAGTAGAAAGTTAAAAAGATTTTATAGTGAACCAATTCTTGCCTAGATTAGGGGTTGATATGATCTTTGGCGAAATCAAGTCACAATTATAGTATATGCCTTGTACTACCCTGGAAGAGAAGAGTAATTGCAGATACCACCTGGTGTACAAGGGGTAAAAATGTGTATTATCTGCCCTGTGTAACTACAGCTTGCTAGCTCCTGACCTAGATTCTATAATTAATACTTTGTTTTATCATGTTTGGCTACCTCTCTAACCATTCATCATTTTTTGCATTTAAAACTAAGATAAAAATACTATAGTGCAGCTTACATATTAGCTGGATTTAAGTATTTTCATGGTTATTTTCTAGGTACAAATTGCATATAGTAAATGCACAGTCTTAAGTATAGTGGCAGATATATTTTAAAAGTACATCTATCTAGTTACCCATCTGACTATACATCTCTATATTTTGGGCAGTAATGGGGATTGAACTCGGACCCTTGAGCTTGTTAGGCAAGTGCTATACTCCCTTGATCCATGTTCACAGTCCTCAAAATATTTTTTAAATACTATTCTAGCTATTTTTTGAGCATGACAAGGAACATGCTTAATTTTTGTATGTGGATCTTATATCTGGCAACATCACTTTTTTATTTAAGTATTGTGTGTAGATTCTCTGGGATTTTACTTATGAATTAAGACAGTGTATTATTTCTTTTATTTTCATTTCTTAACTATTCATTACTTCATCTTTGTCATCATTTCTGCTGATGGCCTATTACAGTATTGAATAGAAATATTAAGCATCCTTGTCTCATTTTTTGTTTTAAAAGAATTGCTTTTATAGTTCATCATCAAGTATGATATGTGTTGCATTAAGTTATTGAAGTCTTTTATTCTGAGTTTGAATTGAGTTCTCATTACACACTGATACTGAATTTTATTTATTGTTTATACTATATTAAGGTAAACCATGTTTTCTTATTTATTCTTTTAATGTGCTTAATTATACTTCCAAATTTTAAGCCATGTTTTTATTTTTGTGATAAAAATTACTTGACTGTGATTTGTATTTCTCTTTTTATACATTTTTATTTTATTTTCTAATATTTTATTTAGAATTCTTGCATTTCTGTTCATATATGTGATGAGCTTATGAGTTTCTGCTCTTTTTTGCTCCATCTAAATGATTTAGTATCAAAGCTATAATAGTCACATAAAATGAATAGGAGTGTATGACATTTTATTCTATTTTCTGGAAGACTACATATATCTGTTTCTTGAATATTTTATAGGAGTTAGCTATAAAACCATATGATTAGGGCTCCATCCTATCCTGGGTGTACTTAATTGTGATTATATAATCACAATTATATAATTGAATGTCTATTCAAGTTTTCTATTTTGTTTGAACATCATATTTTAAATTCTGTGTTTGTTTCAAGGCCTTTAAAAACATGCAGAAAAGCATCTACTTTTTTATTATTATGTCATCTTTAGATTTGTATAGATGATACTTATCGAGATGAGGAAGTTTCCCTCTATTTTTAATTTGTTCAGAATTTTTAATCAAGAATAGATGTTGAATTTTGTCAGGGGTTTTTCTGCATGTGTTGATATGATGCAAAAACCTGTGGATGTGATGGTTTACATGAATTGAGTTTTGAATATTGAACCAACCTTGTGTACCTGAAATAAATTTCTCTTGGGGTTATGGTATTGGTGTTTGAACTCATGGCTTTGCACTTGTAGGATAGGCACTCTATAGTTTGAGCTATGCCTCCAGTTCTTTTGCTCTTATTATTTTGGAGCTAAGATCTTATTTTTTGCTCAGGTCAGATTGCAGTCCTCCTATTTTAAAAGTCCTGTCATCACTGGGATGATAGGCATGTGACATCACACTCAGTTTTTTCTGTTGAGATGGGTTCTTGCCAACTGACCTTGGCCTGGCTGACCTTGAACCACCAGCTTCCTGATCTCAGCTTGTAATCCTAAAGCGTGAACCACCAGCACCTGGGTTTTAGTTATTTTTATACATTGTTTAGACTCAAATGCTAATATTTTTCTGAGAATATTTATGTTTATGTTTATGAAAGATATCGGTCTGCAGTTTTCCTCTCTTGTAATGTCATTGTCTGTTTTGGTATTAGAATAATGCTGTACTCAGAGAATGTTTGGTAGTATTTGCTTGCTTCTGTTTTCTAGAAGAAATTACTATAATTTCTTTGTTAAATGTGAGCTCATCTGGGGCCTGATGCATTCTTTATAAGATGATGATTAATTATTGATTCAATTTATTCAATAGGTATACATCTATTCAGATTATTTTGCCTGTGAGTTTTTGTAGATTGTGTCTTTTCAGGACTTCATACGTACTATAGTTGTTCTTAGTCTGAAGTCTGATTTGTTTAAAATTAATATAAATATTCCAGATCTCTTTTGGTTATTGTTATTGTATTATCTTTCTCCATTCTCTTATCTTTTAACATGTGTGTGTCTTTATGCTTAAAGTGGGTTCATTGTAGACAACATATAGTTGGGTCTTGTTTTCCTGTTCATACTGGTAATCTGTGTTTTAGTTGCTATATTGGGATCATTCACATTTAATTATTTAATTACTAATATTTTAAGTTAATTTCTACCAACTATAAACTGTTTTCTGTCCATTGCCTTTTACTGTCACTATTAGTGCTACTTGCACCTTTTACTGTTTTTCTGATTTCTGTTGTTTTAATTGAGCATTTTCCATGATTCCATTTTCTCTTCTTCTTAGCTTATCAATTATATTTAGAGTGTATTCTTAGTGTTTGACATAGAGTATACAGTGTATATCAATAATTGATATAAGTTCACTTTTTCTATGCTTTCAAGCAGTGCAGTTATTTTATAACTGTATATCATCAGTTTCTTTGTCCCATCCCTTATTACATTGCTGTCAGTCATTTCACTTATCCATAGGTTATATATCCATAGGAATATATTATTGGAATTACTATTTTAAACAAAGTTATCATTTAGATAATTAAGAATAAGAAAAATAAATATACATTATTCCTTCTTTAAATACCTGCTTTCTTTAAGTAGATTCAAATTTCTGACCTCTATTGTTTTCCTTCTCCTTGAAGAGCATTTCTTGTAAGGCAGGTATATTGACAACAAATTTGCTCAATTCTCCTTTGAGGAAATTTTTATTTCTCCCTCACTTTTTAAAGATAATTTCATGTGGATACAGAATTCGAGGTTAAGATTTTCTTTTGGTGCTTTAAACATTTTACTTCCTTCTCTTCTTGTTTGCATGATTTCTTAAGAGAAACCCAAGGTAGTTGTTCCTCTATAATTAAGTGCTCCCATCCATGGTTGCTTTCATGATTTCCCATTGATTTTTCTGCCTTTGAATCTGATATGCCTTGGTATAGACTCTTGGTATTTGTCCTGCATGGTGTCAGTTTTTACATTATGTTTCCTTTTAAATACAGATGAGTATGCTGCCATATATAAATATTTTGTCTTTAAATTCACAGAGATTAAAAGATGTTGGTGGAGAAGCATTTTATCCCTTACTTGAAGATGAGTAAGTATATATAATCTCATTTTACAGTTTTCTTTTCTGTTTGTATTAGATTTGTAAGATGTTTTTTACATTTTCCTTGAAAAGTATTTCCTAAATAAAACATTTAGAGAGTGGTACTTCAATTTATTAGAAGTTTTATCTTTATGAATATTTTTACTTTTGTTCTTCTTTTACAGCCAGTCTAATTTACCTCATTCAAACAGCAATAATGAGCTGTCTGCAGCTGCCACACTTCCTTTAATCATCAGAGAGAGGGACACCGAGTACCAGTTAAACAGAATTATTCTCTTTGACAGGCTGCTAAAGGTATTTTAACATGTAAAGCATTGGTGATGGCCCATACACAATCCTCTCTTTTTAAGATGCTGATCATTCGTAGGGAATATTGATGCCATCAGAAGACTAATTCTAGTAACTTATCTCTTCTGATTAATGTTCTTTAACTACAAAAAAATGAACAAGTTCATAGTAATTAAAATTAAGAAGTAAAAACAAAATGTGAGAATATGTGCAAAATCATCTTAGAGAAATGATTAATATCCTTCCTTTTAAAAGATAAGCACAGAGTATAAAATAGAGAGTAAATATTAAAGTTAGGTAGAATAAGCTTCTCTTTTTGATTACATTAAAGTTTTGGAGAGGGTTATAGGTCTATTGCATTGCTTACTTACATAAATAAAACCAGACCTGGTGATTATAAATACTTGAACACTTATAATTTTAGATATTTTTCATTTCCTCTTTTTTATTATTATTCATCTATTCACATGTGCATACATTGTTTGGGTCATTTTTCCCCCGTCCCCCTCTTCATTTCCTTTTTATTACTGCTGTTATTTTGGGGGATTGAACTGGGTCTTGAACTCAGGGCCTCATGCTTGCTAGGCAGGTACTGTACCACTTGAGCAACTCCACCAGCTCTCTTTGTATTATTTTTTATTGATACATAAAACTATATATATTTACCTTGGGATGTTTCAGTGCATTTATATATCATATGATTTTCAAATCAAGGTAATAATATCTATCTCATCAAGCATTTGTTTCTTTGTAGTGGAAACGTTCAATATCCTTCTAACTTTTCTGAATTATGTAATGTATTATTAGTAATAGACACTCTACCATGCAATAGAACTCCAGAATTTATTTCTCTTACCTAACTGTAATTTAGTACCCATTGACCATCCTTTTCCAACCCTCCCTTACCACTATACTTCCTAGCCTCCAAAAATCACTAATCTGCTCTTGACTACTATGAACATTTTTTGATTTTACCTATGAGTGAGATCATGTCATATTTTGTACTCAGGTAGTGTAAGACATCTGCTTTGTTCTTTGTGCTCAGACTGTGTTGGCTTTGTGGGATGTTTTATGGTTTTATACACACTTTGGGTGTAGTTCTGTGAAGAATGCCATTGTTACTTTGATAGAAATTCTATTGAATCTGTAGATTGCTTTGGTTAATGTGGACATTTTAACAATATGGATTCTTTAATGCATGAACATGGAATACCTTTCCATTATTTGGTGTATCTTCTTTAATTTCTTTCAGCAATGTTACAGAGATCTTTCCCTCTTTGGTTAAATTTGTTCCTAGATATTTTTATACCTACTATAAATGGGCTTTGTTTCTTGATTTCTGTTCCAGATAATTCATTGCAGACATAAATAATTATTACTTATTTCTGTATGTTGATTTTGTATACTGCAACTTTGTTGAATTAGTTCATTACTTCTAGTAGTTTTCTGGAGGAATCTTTGTAGTTTTGTATATATAGGATCATGTCTTCCACAAACAATTACTATTTGACTTCCTCCTTTCAATCTAGTGCTATATTGAATAAAATTAGTGAAATAAGACATTCTTATCTTATTCTAGATCTTAGAAAGAAAGCAAGCTTTCAGCTTTTCCCTGCTCAGTATGATGTTAGCCTTGGGCTTATACATGGTCTTTTTGTGTTGAGGTAGCATATCTAATTTGTTGAAAGTCTTTTGTTAAATTTGACAAAAATTGTTCTGCATGTATTGATATGATCATATGATTATTGTCCTTCATTGTGATAATAAAGTATATCCCATTTATTGATTTGTGTGTGGTGAATCATCCTTATATCCCTAAGATGAATTTCACTAGATCTTGGTGAGTCTTTTCAAAGTGCTGTTGGATTCAGTTTGCTGGCTTTTTCTTGAGGGTTTTTGGATCTATGTTTACCAGGAATATTGGTCTGTAGTTTTATTGTTTACTTCTCTAAATTTTAGTATCAGGGTAATACTGTCCTCATAAAGTGTATTTGGAGTAATTCTTACTCCCTGATTTTTAAAAATTTATTTTAAAAGAATTGGTATTCACATATTTGGGAGAATACAAACATCTGGTACTGAGCTTTTGATTAATAGGGACCTTTTTATTATTGAATCAGTCTTGTTTCTTGTTATGTTCATGTTTTCTGTTTCTTCATGAGAAGATTCACTCTTACAGAGGCAAATTTTCCATTTCTTCCTTGTTATTGAATGAATTGAATTACATCTTTTCATAATGCTCTCTAATGATCTTTTGTATTTCTGTAGCATCAGTTATAATGTGTCACTTTTTATCTCTGACTTTATGTGAGTCTTCTCTATTATTTTCTTCAGCTAGCTAAGCATTGACCAATCTTATTTTTTCAAAGAAACAAGTCTTCATTCCATTGATCATTCACATTGTTGTTTTATCTCTATTTCATTTATTTCATCTCTGATCTTTATTCTTTTTCTTCCAATTTTGTATTTGGTTCTTGATTTTCTAATTCTGCAGGATCAATGATTGGTTGTCTATTCGAGGTGTTCCTGCTTGTTTGATATAGTTATTAACTGCTATAAACTTCCCTGCTGGTACTGACTTCATCATATCCCATAAATTTTGCCATGTTGTTTTCCATTATCACTTATTTTGAGAATATTTTTATTTCCTTCTTAATTTCTTCATTTATGCTTTGATGGTAGACAAGTATAGTATTTGCATTCTATGTATTTGTATTGTTTTCAAAGTTTTTCTAGTGATTGATTTCTAGTTTTATTGTATTATGGTTGAAAAGGGTACTAATTATGATGTTTTTCTTTTTTATTATAAATTTTTATTAGGATGTATTCATTATATGGATGGGATTCATAGTGACAATTCTGATTAGACTTAGTGTGTACATTTTTTACATTGCCCCCATTGTCTCTCCCCTTCAGACCCCTCCACACCCCACTTAAAGCAATTGCAAGAGGTTTTATAGTTCTGTTTCATATAGGTATTTGAAGTCCATCAACCAAACATATACTATAGTCCTAGTTTTCATTATTAATATTTAAGTTGATGTTCAAAGGGGTGTCTCAATGTGTGCCCACTGTGAGTGTGCTTTATTTTGGTCTGTTCAATCCCTTGAATGCTCTCCCTTACCTCATTACCTCCCACCTCTCGTTTTTCAACAGCTTTCAAGACATATCCTTATATTCTCTACCTTCACCTCTTATGGTATGAAATATTACTGATACTCTATCATTCTCTTTTCCTTTCCCTCTTTCCCCAAGTTCAATAGAAAATTCCACTGTTACAAACATGTTCTACATCTGAGTTTGTATATGATCATGCTTGTTTTTGTGTATATGTTTATCTTTGGATCTATCTTCCACATAGGAGAGAAAACATACGTCTTTTGTGTTTCTGATCCTGACTACCTTCACTTAGCATGATGTCCTTCAATTGCATCCATTTACCTTCAAACTCCAAATCTTTATTCCTTGTGGTTGGGTAATACTCCATTGTACGTATGTACCACAATTTTATGATCCATTCGTCAGCTGTAGGGTACCTGGCTTGTTTCCAAAACTTGGCTATTGTGAATAGTGCTGCAGTGAACATCAGTGTACAGGTGTCTCTACTGTATCCTGTCTTATGTTCTTTTAGGTAGATGCCTAGGAGTAGTATCAGTGGATCATATGGCAGTTCTCTCTCTAGTTTTTCGAGGAATCTCCATGCTGCTTTCCATACTGGTTGAACTAATTTGCATTCCCACCAGCAGTGTATAAGGGTTCCTGTTTTGCCACTTCCTTGCCAGCATTTGTTGTTGTTATTATCCTTGATTATGGCCATTCTAACTGCGGTGAGATGAAATCTAAGTATTGTTTTGATTTGCATCTCTTTTATCACCAGAGAAGTTGAACACTTCTTCATGTATTTACTGGCCATTTGTTCCACTTCCTTTGAGAATTCCCTGTTTCATTCATGTGCCCATTTCTTCGTTGGGGTATTGATTCTTTGGGGCTGAGTTTCAAAAAAAATTTTAGCATTTTTCATTTCTTTTTCGTATTATAGGCTTATCCATATAAAAAAAATCAAATTTGGAAAGAAGCAAGAATTGACATTCCTCCTCTTATGAGGGGTTTAACCTGGGCTGCTCTTCTGGGAGTTGAGGTAAGAAAGAAAAGAGAAAGTTAGCAATTGATTAATAATGCTAAGAAAGAATTTTAAAGCTATAGTACTTTCCATACATTTTTAAGCTATTAAAAATTATATAGCAAAATCTGAACATTAGAATATTTGACAATTTTAAGTAGAAGAAATGCATGAAAATAGAATAGAAAAATATAATTGGAGACTTGTTAGATTTTTGCTGTTTAATAATTTATTTAATGCTTCCCTTAGAAAATAATCTTGATGATTGATTTTAAAATAAGATTATATTATAAATCAGTTACAAGCTTGGAGTGGTGGTACATGCTCCACCACTTTTGGCACAAATAGTCTACTTTGATCATGCTTCTGAGTAAAATATAGCATCTTTGCCTTTTTTTGTCTTTTGATAGTGCTAGAGTCTGAACTCATAGCCTCATGCTTGCTTGGCAGGCATTCTACCTCTCGAACCACTCCACCAGTTCTTTTTGTGTTGGGTATTTTTGAGACAGGGTCTAGCTTTCCCCAGGCTGGCTTCCAACCATGGTCCTCCTGATCTTTGCCTCCTGAATAACTAGGATTACATACATGAGCCAGCAGCACCAGACCATCTTTGTTTTCTTGAACAATTTATCTGAATCAATGCCTTATTTTTTTCATTTGTAATGAATTTCTTTTTCATCCTGTCTTCCTATATTCTCTTATAGTTATTTACTACCATTTCAGTTTCTTTAGCTATTATTAATCCTTTTTAGTCCTGTATTGGAAGAATTTCTTCTCTTCATTCCTCATTCCCTTGATGAGAGTCTACAAATTTCTTTGAGTTTGTTTATTGTTCCTATTGTTCCATTGCATGTATTAATCATTAATATTGTAAAACCAGATAATACTCATGTCCAAGAGGTTATACAAGCCTCTCATTAAATAGATGTTGCAAAGAAATTAATCCAGCAGCTAATGTCACCAAGTTCCTGGCTCTTTCTCTGCCATGATGAAAAACCGGAAAAATAAGATTTGTAGTCATGCTTGGTTCTACAGAATATGACCAAAATTTGAAGTAACTTATTCAGATATTCTTTGGTAACAGTATAACAGAAAAAATGTAAATATGCCATTAGTCCCTAGTGTTTCTATAATTACACGATGTGCACTCTATCCCAAACTTCTCTTTCCTGGTACTAAATTACTATTCTTTTGAACAGGTTTATTTTTCCTTTAATTTCAAACAGAAAAATGTCTTATAGGATGACCCTCCCTACCAAAAAAGTTTTGTTTCTTTATGAAATTGCTACCAATGAGTTAATACCAACTAGAAGACAACAAAATCTAAGTGACTTATGCAGGACATTGTCCTTTGACGTGTACAATCCAAAATTCTGCCTCACAGCATGCCAAATGGCTATTTATCATAGACCTATGCCATATGTTGTCAGAGATGCAGAGAATTTCTCTTAAGTTGAGGGCTAACTGGGGTTTCAATATACTTCCATGTAGTTGGGGTGGTTTTCAAAAATAGATGTTTATAAGAAGTATTTTCCTATTGAGCATCACTAATCCAAAAATCTGAAAGCTGAAGTGCTCCAAAATGTAAAAATTATTGAATGCTGATATCATACTCAAGAAGTTGTGAATTTTGAAGAATTTTGGATTTGGATTGTCAGATTAGGAATATTCAACCAGTAAAGTTTATGCAAATACACCAAAATTGGAATAACTCCAAAATATGAAACACTTTTGGTCCCAAGAATTTAGGACAGGAGATAATCAACTTGCATCATCAGTTTTATTAAGCATATGACAAATTAACATTTTGTTTTATATTTTTGCAGGGAGCTATTCATGCCAAGTACGATGCAATAGATAAAGATACTCCAATTCCTACGGATAGACAAGTAAGATTTTCTTAAGCAATCTAAGATAACTCTGCCAAAAATTTTAAAAAGCATGAGAACATTTTCTTCCTTTTATTGTGAATTCTTAGCCATTGCCAAATTCATAGGGCGTTAGAAAATGTGTAACTCTTATGCAGAGAAATTAGTGAGTTAGAACAACACTTTAAAGGACTTTTGGTTGAATAGCCTGTTTAATAAACAATTGTAGGCTGGGCATGGTGGCTCATGCCTATAACCTAGTTACACAGAGGGCAGAAGTCAAGAGGATGGGAGTTTGAGGCCAACCTGGGCAAAAAGTTAGCAAGACCCCATCTTATCAAATAAGTTGAGTATGGTGGTGAACAACTATAATGCCTGCCATGCAGAAGGCATAAGTAGAAGAATCATAGTCTGAGAGCAGCCTAGGCAAAAACTTGATACTGTATCTGAAAAAATAACTGAAACAAAGAGGGCTTGGCATGTAGCTCAGATAGTAGAGTACTTGCCTAGCAATTGCAAGGCCCTGAGTTCAAACCTCATAATGCCAAAACAAAAACAAAAAAACACCGTACTTCTTCACCTGAAAACATTTGCCCTTTATTTAAGGCTGCTGATGAAAGAAGGTATTATTGAAAACTGTATTAACACATACCTTTTCCAAAGAAATGGTCCATTTCCCTATTTAAGTATCCACATGATGTTTTTGGTCTTTCCAGAGAGTTAATAAAACATTCAGAAACTTTAGGCAGTTAAATTATGAAGGTATAATATTCTAAAGTTTATATTTTCTGCTCCTTTTAACGAATAGGGTTAGGGGTTTATTAAGGATGACTAGTTTATTGTTTACAGATCGAGGTGGACATTCCCCGCTGCCATCAGTATGATGAGCTTTTATCATCCCCTGAAGGTCATGCAAAATTTCGGCGTGTATTGAAAGCTTGGGTGGTCTCGCATCCTGATCTTGTGTATTGGCAAGGTAACTTTTTTATTTATTAAGACTTTTCTTCAAGTACTAGGAGCTTATTTTATGTCAGTTTTTAAATTTAAAACTTAATATCAAGTATTCTTCACTTTGAAAAAAGTGAACACTAAACATCTGATTCATTTTTGAGAGGGTTATGAGAATATTTTTCAAATGTTTTCTAAATACCTTATTGCTATCATTTAAATATGATATTTATAATTAAACATTTGCAATCATATTAAAAGGAAAACAACATTTTTTGCTTGCATAATCATTGATATAATTTTAGTGCTTATACAAATAATAAAATGATTTTATTACATAATTAATTTGGGGCTAGTAGAGATTTTTACAGTTTAACAGATTCAGAATTTTAGCTTACTATTTTTATTAGGAATTAAACTAAAGAATAATACTATAAACTGCTCATTTTGTTTATTATCCCCACTAGTATCTTTACTTCCTCAAATAATGAATTTTGAGTTTTTGCCATTATTATCTTTGTGATCATTAATAAATTAATCAATGAGAAAGTTATTTCAGCCAGCCCTATTTTTAAATGTTTGCCAATAGGCAGTTGTTTTAATATTTGAATTTTCCATCTTACTGGGTATACTTAAAAGAAAGCTATTGTTTTTCCTAGCTCGGTACATTTCAGAGGAGCTCTGTATCCTCCTAACACACTGTAAGTAGGCTTATTCGTGCTTCATGACAGCATCTGGGAAAGGCAAATGAAAACCCATCTTGTAAGTGAGAAAACATATCAGAAGATGTTAAATTATTGCCAAGATCACATAGTTGGGGTCTGAAATGAGGACCATATTCAAAGCATTCTAGCGTTTTTACATTTTTCTGTTTCTGTTTTATTCTTTACTTGTAATAAAATTTATAATAACAACTGATATTTTTGGACATTTACTGTGTGCCAGACCTGATAGTTTATTCCTCATGAAAGAAGGACAGTAACTCATGAGTGAATCCACAGCCAGATGGATAGTACTTATAATTTGGAGGTAATACAGAGAACTGAGTGAGGTATATATCTATATTCTGTGAAATTTGTTCTTCTTTCTCCTTTGTCTCAACTTCCCTGCATCAGGTCTTGACTCACTTTGTGCTCCATTCCTGTATCTAAATTTCAATAATGAAGGTAAGCCTCTTTGTCATTGAAATAATCATTGTACATAGTTTCTAAAACATTTGATTCACTTATGAAAGTTTTTGTTTTAAGGTTCTTATATTATATCTTGTAGATACTATAAGATTTTTGTGAAGTAATCTGTTACTTTCATTTTAGAGGCTGCAGAAGGTTAATTTATAACTGAAGCATTTCCGTTGTGACTAGAGATTTGGTGGGAATTGGACTGATAATTCTAAATTCATTTACCTTCCTTGAGGACAATACTTATGAAACTTGGGGAAAGATTCTGACTTCTCTAGAAATTAGTTGTACTCTAAGTATATTTTCTGAAGAATTTCTAAAGAAATCAATATTGGCTGCATTTCTCCCTAATTTTATAACCCAAAATCTTACCATTTTAAACACATCTTAATGAAAACTTATTCTCATTTTTGAACCCATACAGCCCTTTGTATTTTAGGAAAAATATCTTATATCTATTTTGTATTCTGTTTATGTATATATTATGTTGCAACCCTTTTTTGACAGCTGTCTTTTTAACAATGGGGGTTTTTTATTTTGTTCTCTGTCCCTCTGTAATAATACATTTTATAGTAGATTTTTTCAACAAGTATTTGTTATGTTCAATTGGTGCAAATCATCAATTATCAAGTTTAAAGCATGTTATTATATACTGCATTAATCTCAAATTGCCTCCTTTTCAGATTCTATTTCATGTTAGAATTTTTAGGTATTTTGAATTTAATAGACAAAGCATTATCCCAATGAACTAAAATTTTTCTGTTTGGATGGTTTTTAAAATTCACTATTCTCTGCTATTCTCACTCATTTATCTAGATTAGAGCTTTTGTTATGTTTAATTAGGACCAACCAATTATTACTCATTGATCAAGAATAATGAGTGATCTGTGTTTGAAAGTACAGATTACAACAAGTAGTCCTAAGTCCAGAGTTCTCAGACACTTGTTTCTATCAGTAGTAATTAAGGATTTTGAGGTTTGTATTAATAACAATTATGTGTAGAATATTTTTTAATGATAAAGTTCAGGAAATTAAGGTTTTTATTATTATGGTATGATGGTTGCATAGTAATTTGAAATGGAAGTTATAGGGAGAGTTATCCTTTGTTGTCTAAACTATTCTATATTTTAAATAGCAGATGCTTTTCCCCCACCTTAATTTTGTGATTAAAGCACTTATTACCATAACTGTTGTTAATAGTAAGCTCAAAGAATGTATGCAGATTGAATGGCAGTAGGTTGTTTACCCTCTTAACCAATTATTTATCTGCCTTATTCTTCCTTAGCTTTGGCTTATGCCTGTATGTCTGCTTTCATTCCCAAATACCTATATAACTTCTTCTTGAAAGACAACTCACATGTAATACAAGGTAAGCAAATATATTTTCTTGCCTTTTTGCAGGGAAAGTACTCCTGTCATTATAACCAGTACTTAATTAAATTTATGACCCAATAAAATATGATGATGGTTCATCACTAAAACCCATGAAGAGAGATGAGAAAGTTTGTCTTTCTTCCCGTTCCACAAGCAGTTATGGTATTTCATAATAAATGTTTAATATCTGTTAACAGTTGAGTTCACATGCAGACATGGTAACATAAGAAATTAAGATACTGCTCTTTGTCTCTCTTGTGATTAAAATTGCCCAGAAAAAGCTTCACCATGGAGCAAGCCTATAGTGATATTAAAATACATGCATTATTGTAAAGAATTTTAATCAAATTCACTCATCACTCTCAACTTTTTCCCTTTCCCCTCCCACTGGTTCTCATTCCCAAACAGTCCCCCTTTTATAATCCTGTTATATTGTTATTTTGTTTTGTTTTGTTTTTTAGTTCTAGATTCCATGTGTGAGCAAAAATATGCTATATTTCAATATTTGTCTTTCTGAAGTTGACTTATCTCACTAAAATGATGCTCCCCAGTTCCATCCATCCATTTTCTCACAAGCAATGTAATTTCATAATTCTTTATTGCTAAATGATATTCCATTGTGTATATGTACCACATTTTCTTTGTCCATTCATCAGTTGTTGGGCACTTAGGCTGATTCTATAGCTTAGCTATTGTGATTAGTGTGATTAGTTAATATTCCATTGTGTATATGTACCACATTTTCTTTGTCCATTCATCAGTTGTTGGGCGCTTAGGCTGATTCTGTAGCTTAGCTATTGTGATTAGTGCTGCTATAAACGTAGGTGTGCAGATGTCTATATTGTATGCTGACTTACCTTCCTTTGGATATATGCCCATGAGTGGTATAGCAGGATCATGTGGCAGTTCTAATTTTTAGTTCCTTAAGGTACCTTAATATTGATTTCCATACTGGCCTCACTAATTTACCTTCCACCAACACTGCTAAGGGTTTCTCCTCTCACATCCTCACTTTTTTTTTTTTTTTTTTGATGATAGCTATTCTGACTGGGAGGTGGAATCTTAGTGTCTTTGTCTTAATTTGCATTTCCTTTATGGCTAAGGATGAACATTTCTTCATTTGTTTGTGGGCCATTTGTACTTCTTCTGAGAACTGTCTTTAGTTTGTTTGCCTTTTAATAATTGGATTATTTTTCCTTTGTTATTTAATTTTTTGGGCTTTTTCTATATTACAGATATTAGTCCTTTGTCCAGTAGATAGCTTGCAAAGATTTTTCTCTCATTCTGTGGGTTGTCTCTTAATTCTGGTAATTGGTGTCTTTGATGTGCAGAAGCTTTTTAATTTGATGCACCCTATTTATTAATTCTTGCTCTATTTCCTGAGCAATTAGAGTCCTATTCAGAAAGTCCTTCCCTACACCTGTATCTTTTACTGTTTCCTTATGTTTTCCTATCATCACTTCAAAGTTTCAGTTTTAACATTTTTTGTTGTTTATTCATTTATTCATATATGCATACATTATTTGGGCCATCTCTCCCCCTGCTCCACAACCCCCACATTTAACATTTATATCTTAGGTCCATTTGAAATGTTTTTTTAACATGGTGAGAGATAGGAGTCTAGTTTCAGTGTTCTACATGTACATATCCAGTTTTCTACTACCGTCTTCTTTCACACACTTTTAAAGGCTTAGTTGCAAAAAAGCAAGACAAGATCGTGTTTAATTTATGAAAATAAAGGTGACACTATATTGTACATAACGTGACTTAGGAGACATGGCAGAAAGGTAAAAAAAACTTTGACTTAATTCACTAATTACTAATATATTTTAACATTTGACATAATTAAAAGACCACTAAAATCTAATGCTTATTTGTGTTATTTTGTTATCATTTCTAAATTTTTTTTTGATATTTTGATATTTTTCTTTGATCATTAGCTTTGAATTTTTTAAGCCACAATAAATGTTCTTTAATATTATGCTGAAAATGTAGCATGTATATTTTCCCAAGCAACAATGGACAAGTTGCTTGGGAAAAGTTGTTTTAAATCATTTCTTCGGTTTTTAGACAGACCATACATGTTAAATATGAAGCATTAATACTATCAGTTAATTTAATAATTGCACTGGCTCTGTGCCATGCATTGATTATGGGATCAATGTTCTAAGAGTAACCTTCGATGCTTTTCCAAGGGATTTCATACCAAGATATGGGGAATAAATGTGAAAATAACTAGTCACATCCTAATAATACAATATACTTCTATTATATTAACACAGAGCAAGAAGTGGAGAGGTTTGTTTTTATTTTTTCTTTATCAAAAGGTTTCATAAAAGAATAGATGCTTAATAAGCTTGAAGTTTGTGTAGGGATTTGCTTGGTAAAAGGAGGAATGAAATTCTTAAGACAAAGAACAAGGAAGAACACTTTACTAAAAACATGCAAAATGGGTTAGTAAAATGGACAGAAGTCAAATCTGGTTTGGGGGCACCAAAGAAAGAAACAGGGAGCAAAAGAAGGAGCTGAAACCATCTATTGATTACTGGTCACTGAAGAACAATGGTTTACTTTTTGTTTTTTCAAAATGTTTATTTTAGACTGAAATTAGAAATAGGCCACATTTTACCACTATCCCTGTTTGTTGTTTTTTTTTCTCCTCTTTGTTTTGAGTGTTTTAAGCATTAAAAGTTCAAAGTAACTGTTTTTGATTGGCACCTGCACACTTTGTTCTCCACATATTCTGGGGAAAATCTTAAGTCATATGAAATTAATCAACTGACAAACTAATTATAGAATCGCATATTCACTTAAAAAGTTTCTGTATTCAATAGTGTCTTGAATTGCTCTTTGAAAAAATTCTGTTTTTATAACTATACGCTCAAAGAACTTAAATATTTGTCTATTTTAAGTGCAATATTTATATACTCATGAATCTAAGTACCTTTCCTTTTAAACATCAGTAGAACATTAATTTCTTTAACTAAGACACCCAGTTCTTAAACCTTGTTTCTATTAACTTGTTACATAAAGACATTTTTAAGACATAAGAAATTTAAATTTAATTATCTTCTGGCCTAAGTGCATTGTAATTATGACTTTTGTCACCATCTAATTACCACCAGCACATTGGTATGCATTTGAAGAGTAGAAATATACAGGAACATTTAAAGTAACATGCTGCTTTAAAATCTCAGAATTGGTCCTCTAGGTTATCTAAGATTACTAAAATTACTCTAAGATTCAGAAACCAGTTGAAATGAAGAAGATAGAGGAATTTGGAAGGGATCTGTTGATTAGTATTGAGAAACAGTTTTTACAACTTGCTGAACAGGGCCATGAGTCTATGAGGGGGATGTCAGTTTCTGGCCCATGAAAAAAGAGACTGCCCAAATTTTGCCAGTGAAATTTGGGCACAACATTAAACATATTTGTGTACTGTTTCACAAAATTAAGGCATATTCACACTTGGAAAATAAGGTTGCTATAAGTCAGAATAGAAAATACAGATACCATATAAATCTGAGAAGTTAAGAGAATAAAATTCTCCAATTTTTTGTTTACCTTGTATTTTTCTAAATTCTTTTAGGGAAAGGATAATGTGACCTTTACAGTGATGACCGTAACATTCAATGTAGTACCTCAAATAGCTAGGTTGACTAACTATAGGATGTTTTAAAGTTGAAAGTGTCAATATATCACCAAATGGTTAGATTGGGCAGTTCTTATTGAACAAGAACTTTGTGACTCTCTACCCTTTTTCCTGTGTGGGAAGGAGGTAGGGTTGAGGTAGAGTCTTGGTAGATGGCCAAGCTGACCTTGAACTCTCAATCCTCCTGCCTCTGCCTCCTGCATACTGAGATTACAGAAGTGTACCACTACACCTGACATCTCTTTGCATATTTATCTCTATTTATTATCTGCAAGGTAAGCTAATAGGCCGATAGAAAATAAAAAATTGTTACATAATTGAGAGTACCATTTCTGACTTATGAGGAGAGGAAACCATTTGTTTTAAATCCATCACCCATTATTGTTCATCTCTTCTTTTCCCCAGCTAAAAAAGTAAAAACTGAAAAACTCCTCAGAAAAGAAAAGCAAAGATACCCAGTGTACAGCTTTCTGAAATTTCATCTCTGCATGTGACTTTTTTTTTAAAAAAACAGATGGCTTATTTGTAAGCAACTGCACAAAAATATGATAGCATTATATGAAATTCTTATACCAAATTCATTGGCAGTTCTAAGGTGTGTAATAAAGAAAGAAGTCATTTTAAAGGAGAACAAGAGTTTTTTAATACAGGGAAATTTGAAGGGAAAGGACAATTTTATTTCATTGTGTATCTTATTTCAAAAATTAAAAAGTATTATGTTTTATTAAAATGCAGAAAATTTATATTAAATATGATTTGTGCAATAGTGTAAAAAAGTATACTTGATGTTTTAAGGGAAACTCATAAATACCTTTATTTTTAAAATTTGAATAGCATTTACCAATATATAGGTTACTTAAAGGTTACACAATACTATCTGTAAAATAATTTTTACTCTAGGTTCCTATATTTGTCATACAGTATGTCATAATTACAGTGTTTTGACAGCATTCTGGTATTTCCTTAAAGAGTCCATATTAAAGTTACAGCCATGCTATCCCTTGTTTTATTCTGCCCAATGGTCTCTTTCTCTATAGATATCCTTAAATTCTTACAGTTTTATCTATAAATCAATGGATATATGCATTATATTTTTTTAAGTTCTTGGGAGTTTAAATGGTTTTTTGTAATAACCTGAATTATGATGTGGTGCTGATAAGTTCTGTCATATATCCCCTTGAACAAAAGAAATCTGGTACTGGGTTTTGATCTCAGAGACTTGCATTTGCTAGGCAGGCATTCTACCATGTTAGCCATGCACCCAGCCCTTTTCGCTCTTATTTTTCACGGTCTTGTGCTTTTTTGCCTGGATCAGCCTTGAACTGTGATCTCACCTATGCTGTCTCATTGTGTAACTGTGGTTGTAGGCATGTACCTGGCTTGATCATTGAAATAGGGTTTTGCTAACTTTTTTGCCTGGGCTGTCCTCAAACCATGATCCTCCTGTCTCTGCCTCCCAAGTAGATGGGATTCCAGGCATGAGCCATTGTACCCAGCTAAAAAGAAATCTTTGTAAGAGGCCATATTATATCTCTGTTCTGTGCTATCAAAGGTTAGCCAACTTTTAAAATTATATTTACATATTTGAAGCAAAATAAAATCTATAATAATATAAAAAATGTGTATATCTGTGTGAGAGTGCCTGCATGCTCAGTTATAGTATATACCATATAAATTCAGCCTTCACTATTTGGCAGAATGCAAGGAAAATGTTTCTATGATGGATTAGGTCGCTTCAGTAGAGCCTTAATTAACCATGTAAATCCACTTAGTAACTAATTATATCAGAGTCAAATAAGAATGATATTTAATAAACTAGAGCATAACTGGGGAGAATTGCCTGAGGCATGAATTTCTGGTTTAGAATGAATGATGCATTTAACTGTATACTTATCAATATACAATTAACTGCTTATGATGGCTGATGTTGCATACTTCTGGCTTCTGGATAAGTTTGAACTATAAATCTACCACCACTAATTAGGAGGGGAAAAAAAGGTAAAGAAATGTTAAACCCAAAAGTTCCCTGGGGCTCTCAGACATGTCCTGGGTCTTCAGTTTGGTGTGTAACTTTTGAAGTTAATGGAAATTATACCTTTTTTTACCTAAGAGGAAAAAGTGAGAAAATGGGTAGATAGAATGAGTTCTGTCGCAGTGGAATAAGCAACAATCAGAAAAGGTGCTTCTTTAATACTTCTTTATCTAGCATGAATAAAGATTCATATTGGTGCAGTAATGTGGTTCAGCTTTATCATTGTATACATTTTTTTTACTTTTGCCTTGATGCTGTTCTTTAGAAAACATGTGACTTTGCTTATTATTGGCAAATAACTAAAATATACATGATCAGTAGAAGCAAAATTTTAGTTGAGAAAAATAGAGAGGCTACTTGTTTAGTACTATTTCTTGAAATATTAAAAATAATGAACTGATAAAGCAAACACTGTTTTAAAGACTAATTCCACCAGGTAATTGGTTTGAAACATAGATGTAACTTTATTGAAGGAGAGAGCTCATATTATTAATTAAGGGAAAACTTTCATCAAGTTATTGTGATTTCAATTTCAAAAAGAAATAAAAGAACCTGTGCTCATTGAAATATGTATTAATTTTGGTTTTTTTGATGGGTGAAAGTTACTTGGTTTGGAATACATTGTTATCATTATGGTGCTTAGGTTAGTATATAGTAAGTTGGTAAGAATGGTACTTTATTGAAAGAATGAGGAAAATAATATATTTCACATTCAGGTTGAATGCTCTGAATTAGGATAGGATTAGAATCAAACAAAAGATATCTCTAGTTGCCTATCATGTGCCTACTTTCTGTTAACATAATGTTGATTCTTACTCCTAAACAGGCCAAGTGCAGACTCCTAGATGGAATGAGTTAAAAGTAGAGCAGAAGTCTGAATCTGCACATAAACACATTGGAGGCATAATTTCTCTGTGACTGCTTATCTCATAATGCTCCTTATTTAAGGATTTGTTACAATTTTTGAACATTTAGTAAATGTAAAAGATGAAATATCACAGAAAGTGGATTTGTACAATTTAATAGGAAAACATTTGTTGTGTGTATAATCTGTGACTCACAACTAACTGATAGTTATGAAGGTAAAAAATAAGTGTGGTGTACTTTTTTGTATACTTAATAATTAGCAACAAGTGACTTAAAATAGTAACAAAACAAAATTCTTGATTTTTTTTTTTTTTTCTGGTACTGGGGCTTGAACTCAGGGCCTACACCTTGAGCCACTCCACCAGCCTTTTTTTGTGATGGGATTTTTCGAGATATCATCGCACAAACTGTTTGCCCTGGCTGGCTCTGTACTGCAAGCCTCCTGATCTCTGTCTCCTGAGTAACTAGGATTACAGGTGTGAGCCACTGGTACCCAGCTACAAAACAAAATTATTAAATTATCTTTGCTTCACAGAGAAATTAAATTCTCATTCAAACTGTAAATTAAACTGTAATTTATATTTAATGTCTCTGAAGTGGTTTGTAAAAATGATAATTGTCTTGAACTCTGTTGTCATTGCAGAGTACCTGACTGTGTTCTCTCAGATGATTGCATTCCATGACCCAGAGCTGAGTAATCATCTCAATGAGATCGGCTTCATTCCTGATGTAAGTACTCAGTGCATTCACAGAACGTGAGGTGAAAAGAAAAGCAAGAATTGACAGCTCAGAAGGGAGATTTTTTAAAATTGTTGTTGTCACAAGAAGTTCATATCTGAACAAGTTACTGCTATTAGTCATACTCTTATGTTTGTGTGGTCACCTTTCATATTCTGACCTTAAATAAAAGGAAAGTTCCTCTTAATATAAGCACTCAATAGACTGAGGCAGGAGATTTTGAGTTTGAGGCCAGCCTGGGCTGTATAGTGAGACCCTATCTTAAAAAATAAATAAATAAAATAAAAAGCTATTGGATAAATGTATACCAAAGTATCACATTATACTCCATAAATATCCTAAAATAAAATAAAACAGCAAATGAAAGTGAAAGATACACACAGTGGTTACATATTTGGGGAGGGAATTGTAATTAGAGATGTAAGGGAATCTGGTGTAATATTTTACTTTTAACTTTCTTAAGACTGTGAATAAATGGCTTGTTCAATAGTTTAACTTTAACCACCTTCTCTCAAGCAATCATAATTTTTCAGAAATATATTAAAATTATTGATAGATGACATAATGTTCAGGCTATATTTCACTAAAGTAAGGGAAGCATTTTTTACTTTGTCAGTACTGGAGTTTGAAGTCAAGGCCTGGCACTTGCTATTCAAGTGCTCTACCACTTGAGCCACTCTCTTATCTCTTTTTGCTTTCTTATTTTTTAGATAAGGTCTTGTGCTTTTGTCCAGGCCAGCCTTGGACAGGATCCTCTTACCTCCACCTCCTTGTAGCTAGGATTACAGGCATGATCTACCATGTCTGTCTTGTGTTTTTGAGATAGGGGCTCACTATCTTTTTTGCCCTACTGGCCTAGAGCTGTGATCTCCTATTTCCCCCTCCCAAGTAACTGGCATTATAGACATAAGCCACCATGCCCTGCCCTGTCTTAGAAAAGCAGTTTGTAAAATACTTTTATGGCATTATCTCATTTTCATAAAAGAGCTGTGTATATGTACATATACGTAGGAAAAGTTGAAAGACCATCCTTGAGATTATTAGTTATGATTTTCTTGGGTTAGAGTTTATGGTTACTTTTTTGTGTGGGAGTTAAGTCCAGTTTTTAAATCATTTTCAATTCACATGTGATTATTTTTATAATATAAAAATTTGATGTATGCTACACAGTGATGTTTATAAGTAGAACACAATTTTTCCTACAATGCATAGAAAGAAACTACATTTCATATTGAGATTCAAGACACACCAAAATTGGGAGTGCTTATGTGCACGTGTGTAGCTGAAACAAGTTTTACTCAGCATGTTTTATGCTTCCTACATACAATGTATCCTATTATATTTAAAATTTTTTTACAACCAGTAAGTTGATTTTGTGAGCCTCAATTTGAAAATGCTTATATAATGCTTTTATACATAAAAAAATCAGTAACTGATTTTTTAAATTAAAAGATAAAAGATTATTGAACTGCGGTATTGTAGGTTTCTATAAGTCTCAAAATATGTGTTTTTTTGAGGTAGAGATTTTCTTTGTTTCCTGATTGGGATTTTTCCTTTGAAAAGCTTACATCCTGAAAATGGCATATTGACAGGTTAGATTGGAATATGTTTATATTAACATTCAACTAATGTATGGGAAATGTTTATAATAGCACTAAATATAAATATTAAGTATTAATTGGAGAAGCAACTTTTGAGTACAAAACTTATTAAATAAGTACTTTAAAAAGAACAAATTCAGGATCTGAGCTGACCAGAGAATACAAAGACAGGTCCTGTGATTAGAGATAAGAAACTTCATAAAAGAAATTAACTAATGTACATATCATTGTATTAGTTACTCATTTTGTATATATCTTCTATATAAATTTTATTTGAATTTCTGCCTTCGTGTTATAAGCATGAGATATTATACAATACTAGATTAAGACTAGAATTGAAGAAATTATCAATGAACTGATTGCCAAGTAGGCAATGATATTATATTTTTGAGGAAAGAAACAATAGTAATACTAAAATCCAGACTGAAAAAGGGAGTAATTATTTTTTAAGAATGCTCTTAAAACCACCTAAAGTATGTACAGCACTTCAAAGAAAATTACATCAATCTAGTGTTGTGAATTGGCAGAGAATATTTATATCAACTAATGTGAATGGAATTATAAAAATAGTCTGATAAAATCTTTAGACGACTCTGAACATGGGTGGTATTCAGAAAGAAAACATGGAAGGAAAAATGATTAATCTTTTGGTTAACCAGAGTATTGAATTCTGAATAATTTGATGTAGAAGCAGTGGTAAGCAAAAACATTGTTAAAACATAATAATGTGAACACAGTAAATGATTATCATGTGTCACTCTGCCACCCTCTCTCAATATCAAATCCTTTCAGTTTTAAACAATGATTGTTAAATATTTATATATTGGGCTGGCAGAGTGGCTCATGTGGTAGAGCACCTGCCTAGCAAGCATAAGGACCCCAATATTGCCCCCCCAAAAAGAAATTAAATCATTAAATATTTATATATTAAGCCAATTTGGGAAGATCTACTAGTAAGGTTGAATTAAAATTCTCGATAACAATAGCAGCTAATAATATCTTATGAAAGATAAGAGTAGAAGGAAAATAAGTTTAAAAATTGTTGTAGTATGTTTGCGTTATTTTTCAGGGGAAGATAATATGCTTCTTGTATTTACATATTAAGTGAGGAATCCTTTCAGATCTTAGACTTGATTTTACCCTGCTTGGAAGTTTATAAATTAGTCCATTACTGTTTTCTGAACACTGGAAGAAATCATAAGATGTCTTGTTCACAGGTAAAGGACTTTATCACTCACAGAACAAGCAGCAGGAGCATTGAGGTGTGTCTTGGTTCCCCTTACTCTCAAATCCCATAGAAACAACATGGAGGGCCCAGATGATTCCTACCATGCAGTGGATTGCATTCGAGAGAGGAAACATGAGATTTGGGATTCATAAAATTTAAAGTGGGCAGTAACATGCCTTCCCTCTGTTCTTGGAGAGAATAGAATGAGATTCTTTTTCTTCTAAGTCTGTGAGTAAATTTGCCCTTTCTTCAAAGGGAGAGTTTATCTTTGTTTTGCAAGACTGTTTTTTAGTGCAAACATATTTGAAAAGATAGCCCAGAAGAAAGGTCAGTCTGCTTATAAGAAATTCAGACGTTCAAGGATTCATGTTAAAAATTTAAAGTATAGAAAGAAGCTAGACATGGTGGTTCATCCCTGTAATCCCTACACATTGGAGGCTAAGCAGGAAGATTGGGGCTTTAAACCTGGACTACATAGTGAGATGCTATCTCAAAACTATAGAAAGAATATGTATAATTCTAAACCACTGGGGGGAGGGGTAAGCAAATAAAAGTCAAGCAATTTTTAAAAACCCAAGAACAAAGAAAGAATTGCATATGAACTAAACGCCTATTAAAGGAGATTTTTAGGTTGTATTTTAAAAATTCATCTTTAAATGCTATTTATTAGAGATAAAATTGTAAAATATATTGATCAGGAAGATTTCTTGAGTTCTCTTTTCAATAAAATTGGAGAAGAAGAGGGAAGAACAGGTTCTGCCTGAAAGTGGGAGTTGGGGAGGTGAGGTGGCACCAACAATGTATACCTATGTAAATAATGTAAAAACGATAAAATAAAAGAAAAAATAAAGAGCATATTTTACATGCTGAAAAAAAACAGAATAAAACATATGCTAGGCAAATATTAACCAAAAGAAACTCATGTTGTTATATTAATATGAACTAGTAAAACTGGAGAACCAAAACAGATCCACTCAGATATGGAACTTTGTATCTAACAGAGATGGCTCTATAAAGCAATTAGAAAATAAAGCATTATTGAATAAGTAATCTTAATATAATAGGGTGGCTATGTGGAGGTAATGTAAATCAAAACCTTATATAAAATGTCATGTTTATAATTTGTCTAGGAAAGAATTCTTATTAGGTTTATAGAAAGCCATAATGTAACATTAAAAAGAAAGAATTGGAGTTGAGGAGTGGTACATGTTAACTTCCATTTTATGGGCAACATATTATTGTAGCTAAATTTTTTTGAAGCAAGTATGGCAAAATGTTAATGCTTGTTAAATCTGAGTAAAGGGTTCATTGATATTCTTTAAATGCATTGTTATGCAGAGTGACTAAATTCTTCAATAATTCAATAACTTTGATATATTTATTCTATATATGCTTTCTTCTCTATTAGTGACTCCACTCCTAAAATTAGTGAGACATTTTCATGTAAATTCTTGCAAAACCTCTGCAATAGTAGCAATGTTATTAGGAAAGTAATATTAATTTATATGTGTAGTGTGAATAATCTTGTAGACACTCAGAAGTCATATGGGATGAGAAAAAAAAACTCCCTGTGAAGTAGAAATGTCCAAACATGACAAATGCCAAGTGTCTCTGGTGTTTAGCCACTAATTAATAGTAATTCTCTAATCATGTATGACATTTTAATGCCTCTATGAGTATTAGAAATTTGCATATATTTCTGTATGCCCTCTACAAAATGGTTCTGTTACTACTGAGTATATTTGTGCAAACATAGAGAAATGAGGAGATTGAGAATATATCTTAACCTTCAGAAAAGTCCTGCCTACAACTATTTTGTTATCATAGAGGGTAGGCAAAGAAAATGATTTACTAAAGAAAGCTAAAATGTTAACAAATACTTCTTTAAAATCTCTTGTCTTGGTTTTTGATTTGCTTTATTTTATTGAGCTGTTTCTCATCTATGGATAATAGAAAAATATGAAAAGCTGTTCTAAAATTAAATTTTGTAGAGATGTAATATTTTTAACATAGAGATTATTGACAGTGAGTAGTTGTGGAAGGTGTGTGATGAAATGGAGAATTTTCTAATGTTTTTCTATTAACCACGTCTTTTTAGTTTCATCTCATTAGTTTGTATATGCATCATTGTTTTATTTTTCCCTTGAATTATTATGTTTAATATTTTTCATTTAAAATAATGTTTGAAGAAACTTTGTGTGCCTCCAACAACAATACAGGCTAGGATTCAAGAGGAAGAGCAAGTACTTTGATAATGAGATCCCAAACTGAGTTCCCTACTCAAGAGCTAATCCTATCAAAGTAAGCCTTCATTAATCTTCCATCATTGAAATGCAGGCTTCCATTGCAGGAGAGATTGTGATATTTGGCTCCTTTCCATTTGCTGTGGGTCACAGAACTCTGAACACTGAGCACCGAGAAGCTTAAATAGCTTGGAAGATTGTACACTGATGCAATGCTTAGATTGTATAAATCATGGTAGTTATGTGATTTACATATAAATAGAGTGAGTAATGTGTATTTGGCAAAATTGGGGCCAGGGTGATTTTTATCATTCTGTCTTGATGTGTTTTCTGCTTCTGGAAATATACGAGGTCCTTAAAATGAGAACATGAAAGTGTGCTTCCTCATTCTTAAGGGAACTGTTTCTCTGAAATGCTAGGAATAGCATTCAGCTTGCAAATTATGAGAAGTCTGATAGCAGTGAAGAGAAATGATATGGGCTGTTTCTCAGTACTGTGTATGTATTTTG